CTACAAGCGGTAATCAGCCATTGTCAGGGAAAGTATTCTCTAATACGACGATAAGTGTCCCCAAATAGAAATAATCAAGTGCTTAGCGCTCTGAATCATGAAATGTATAAATCACACTAAATCAATCTGGGCACACACCTCGAACCTCTCAACCCAAGACTAACTTAGATAATTAGGACTATGGCAACAACCTGCCTATATTCTTTATAATGTTTACTTTTGCAATTAATGTACAGGTCTAGGACTCGCAAGACCAGATCGTGCCAGTAAAATCTTCAACAACAATGAAATTTTCCTACACTTACTAATCGTGTATTTAAATTACAAGTTTGTGATAAATAGGTTCAAGAAGGGCAAGGTCAACTTATGTTATCACCTCAAGTTTATGAATGATATTATTATTTGTATGGCATTTTTGCCTTCTTAATTTTAATAAATATTCAACTTTTTATGCAAATTTTAGGGAAGAAATATCTGTATTTATGTGATCAATTGCATGTTTGAATCTCTTCCCTAGTGATCAGCATTATGTGCTTAATTATGTTTTGTATAAATTATGTGCATGTTCTAAGGTGATAAAACTAACTATGGAATTAATGTAGGTAAGTTTCTCTTTGTAATTATGTATCAGCATTATGTATTCAAGTGTTTGGAATCAGATATCAGTTTTACTGAATATGGTGCTGTACTTTTCTGTTTATGTTCACTTTAAAGTACTCAAGTCTGTATTTATTCCTTCTCTGCATGTACTATGAAGGTCAGTTCGTACTTGGCTAGGATTTAGACTACATAGCAGTACTTAATGATCAGTTTTATGTATTATGCTTATCCTTTTTATTTTTAGTTTTCATGTATTATGTATGCATTTTTAAGTGTTATGTATGCAGGCATTAGGGATCAGCTTTCTTCTGTATTTCTGTACTCAGTATCATGTTAGTTTTTCACTTTAATATTCAGTTTCGTACTTATGTATGTATTATCCTGTCTGCAAGTACTACGAAAGAAAATGTAGGTGAATGGTTGAATTTGTAAAACAACTACAGTTTAAGTATGCGCAAAGAATTAAATTATGCAGGAATTTGTTATCTTAGTGATAACAGGTACCCATTCTTTTAAATGTTCTTACATAAGAGTCAGGCACATGGAAAGTAAACTGCGTTAAATTATGTTTGGGCGCTAGGATTTTTTTAATCATCTTTTAATCTCTCTCTTTATTTATTTATTTATTTATTTATTTTTATTTTTTTTAAGTTTACTATGTGCAATAATTTAATAGGTTACAACTTTCCTCCATGCAGGACCAACGATTTCACAGAAGCCCCATAAAGATATGATAGTTGTGTCGGGATAAGAACCCGCATGTAGACATTTAGCAAGTCCAGAAAATCCACGGCAGTTAATTTTTCAGGCAGAGTCCTCCTATCTTTACTTTATCTAACACAAGTTTCTGTCTATTCTAACAGCGATTCTTAACAGTCCTTTGATTGCTTCTTTGCTTAATTTTAAGTAGTTCCTAACAGGATACTCTTTCCCCGTACAACAACATCCAAGCTTATATGTAGACTTTATGAGGCTCTTAGCCGTCTATTCGGCTGCGTTCCCGGAGCAGGATGGAGCAGAGAGTAGATGGTTTCTGCCAGGAAGATAACACACTGTGAGGCTAAGAAGGCCAGGTCAGTGATCTTTCTTGGTGGCGCTCACTCACTCACTCTACATACTATTAAATATTACTTTAATTCCGAGCCGAATGAAATAATCTGATGATTACAGAGATATTTAAGTCACATCAAATAAAATTTTTAATACTTAAAACCCTAAATCAAACTACAGATGCATTTAAAATCCTCAAAACTGATGAAAATAATTATATAATTTTGCTTTCCATTGTTGTTATTGCACTATTCGTAACTAAGCAAAAACAACAGAATGGAAAAAAATCTACCTATTTCTCCTTTTACTTAAATCATTTATTTTTTTCTCATATTCGACGCCTATTCTGAAACTGTTTCTTCAAACTGTGAAATGAAAACACAATCTATTCGAATTTTAGGAGGTGGAATGTTTTTGTTAAGAACGATCGATAAAGTTTCATACATTCTTCTCAACGATTCTAAGTAAAAGGTTCTTTCAAGCTCCGCCTAAAAATCCTAGATAAATAATGCACGCCTACAAGGATGAAAAAAAAAATATGCAGTGTAATAATTTTACGAAATATACTTATTTCTTATCTATTTATTTTTTAAACATTTATCATCATAAAAGATATCCTGAAATCGGCACTTGCAAAGAAACGAAATGAACCCATTGTTCGCTTGTTGAAATGATAAATAATTTATTCTTTTTGAAAACGACATATACATTTCGTGTTTCGAAAAACTCTAAGTTCTTTTGTCAAACATTCCAACTAGTGATCACATTTTTGGCATATCTAAAACTTCTGATTGATAATTAGCATCAAAACGTTGCGTATTTTTATCACTTGTAAATAACATGAATGCTATTCGAACAATAGCTCAATATTATTATCTGATAATGTAAAAATATTCTTTCCAAAATAAAAATACATACGCGGAAAGAGATGGAATTCAGATAACTTAGAATTTCAGCCTTTTATATTTAAAATAAGGATAAACGGAACACTTTTAGCTATTATATTAATTTTTGATTCAAAGATATTTTAAAAAATAAGAAATAATCAGTCAAAATCAAACGATTCTGTAGCACGTAAGTAATATGTTGTTTTATAAACATATTTTTAAAAACATAGTAATAAACTATGTATATATGAATTCGATATATTGTAAAAACCGAACAAAAATCTAAATTGTTCAGAAATGCTTGCATGGCTTTTGACCCGACCTGATTGTCTTGAAATTACAGTTTGATTAAATTCAAAAACTAAATATAATTATTGCCTTTTGCCTAATAGAAGCATTCTGGGAATAAGTTAATCTATGGGAAAGACAAAGACGTTATATTTCGGGAAGTGAAAATGCTTGCCGAGGTGAAAGATGATGTAAATATTGTACCAAAAAATAGAGTAATATTATGGGTCCAAGTATTTTTGAGTGATTCCTCTAACATTCTGATAAAAGGAATTAAGTATTTCTTATGCATGCATAAATATGTGTTTTTAAGAAAAAAAAGCCTACCTTAATTTTTCAGGTATGATTATATTTCAGATTTCAAAAATATACACATTAAATTTTAACTTTTTAGCTCTTAGCAAGTTCTTTTGCATAATAAAGTTGTTTTAAGTGATATTGAACTACAAATGATTCTGAAATAAATTCCTTCCGCATTATACCGAAACTGAGTGTTTTTAAATGATGATGAAACTTTACCCTTAAGTTTTCTTATTTACATTAGTAGAAACAAATCATAGTTAAGTACGCTTTAAGTTATTACAATATTGAAAGAGTAATATAACGTAAAATATTGCACCAGCAATTTTACTTCTGTGGCGTGCGTACGTGTTCGTAATGGATCGAATGCATATAAATACTCGTACAGCTCTTCATGGTGTGACAGAATACAGTCAGTAGTTACACTTCAAACTACTAAGAACGTTATCCAGAACGCAAAGCAAAAAGCATCTAAAGAACAAAGCTCGCATGGAGATCTGTGAATAATCCAAAGTCAATTCTGAACTAAAGATAAAAAACTGACGCCCTCTCCTATCCCCTTGCCGCTGAGCCATTTCCATTAACCGAAATTACTGGAAGGCATATACGGTTAAATTTACATATAAGGGCTGGATATGATCGTAGTTATATAGAGGGATCCATTACATTTATTCAATTATAGTTCCAATTAGTGTAATACAGACAATGAACCAAATGTTTGGCGACTGCCAAACACGAAATTTTTGGTGTCCGGAATGGGGTTGGATGCCGGTGACAAAAGCGATGAATGAACAACTAAGACAACTGGTGACTGCCTTTGTTTCCATTCTAAGAAAAGATGGAAAGGGCCATCAAATATATGAGCAGCATATGTCTCCCACTATAGGACACATGACAAATCCATTAACTATTCATTTTCAGAATATGATGATTATGATGATGGAAATTTAAAAAAATGAATTCTGAACGATTATGGAGTATAAAATTTTAAAACATTGCTTAAATCTTGTAGATAGTCAAGACATTGCTAATATAGAATTCGTATTGAAACATGTACAGGATAATTATTTTGAATAGAAAATTACTCGAAAAAAATTACAAAATTAGATTACAGTTTGATAAAGTTTGCTGAAGGAAATGCTAAACATATTAGGAAAAAACAAAAACTTTCGACTGTTCAGGTGAATACTTAAATGTATGATCTCATGATTTGAATTTATTGTAATATTAACAAATTTTTCTCAATATCAATAAAAGAATCAAACCGTGTCAGAGCCATAGAAGGAACAGTCTTAACAGATCATTTATAACAGATTATTTATTATAGGAACTTATTTTGTCGCCAAATTTGGCAACATTTTGGTCCGTAATATTCATTGAAGAATAAATGTAACTGACCACTATGCTAGCTGAAATCGAATTCCACAAACTTAATTCTTTCCAGTAATTTCGAGATGCAGAAAGTACTAGAAATATCTGAGTGGCCGGTTGAAAACAATGAAAGGCCTGAGAGAAAGCATCTGAGTTCAGTTGCTTAGTTATTGTTATCGCGAGTTGCAGTTTCACGTGACTGAGATAAATCTGAATTAGGTTTCTCTGTAGATGAGCTTTGCATTGAGTAGTGTTTAATATTTTCAATAGTTGAAAGCGTAACTAATGATTGTACTGTGTGATACTGTGACACCCGTAAAAGTATTAATGCAGGAAATTCTAGAATTTTAAAGTGTTTGATAAAATTAATTTTCATTCATTCAATATGCTACGAACCCGTACGTATGCAACAGCATTAAATATCTGGTGTTTGCTACGTATATCTATCATGGCAATTAATAAACGCTCTAAAATACCTGCTAAATAACATAAGTTCAATCATACCTTTGATGGCATTTTCCCAGCTATTGATCTTCAGAATCCTGTTCTTGGAACTTTCAAAATGTATTCATTTCAATAATGATTTTACTATTTGGGAAAATAAAAACAAAATATGAGGTGTAGCGATTTCAGTCAATAACGAAATGTCATAAAAATCTAAGTTAATACCTTCGAAAGAGGTATCTGATAATCTTATCGGGAAAAGAATAATTCACGAGATAATAAATGACGTAATAAAATAGAACGTTTTTCTATTGTAACGGTATTCTGATAATAATGCATTCATTTTACGATATTTCGGTGGCAAAGAAAAAAAAATGGTTCTTTGAAATTCCAAACTGTGATTAACAGATAGTTGCTAGAGAATTTTTTTTATCATTCTCTTTTCGAATAATCTCTTGCATAGTTGTATGAGTTTGCATTCTAATCAGATTTAATTTGAAATGAATGATCTTATTTAGACTGCACACGTGTTTCGACCTGGAATCTCGCAGTACAAACTGATAACAGCAAGTATATAAAAACACCAAAATATTTATTTGGTTCTTCAGCATAGACAATGGAACTAAAGAGAACAACAAAACACAATAGTGGTATCATATTTATAAATGAAAGTATTTAAGTCTGGTGACCTGACTTTTCTGTTAATGCGCCTTCTCATGTAAGTTTTCTTTGTTAACGTGCCTTCTCAAGTGCAAAATGTACTTACTCATCTCAGTAGCTTATAAGGTTTCTTCCTCCTTCTTAACCTGGATTCGTAGTGTAGTGATCTGCTCACTGCGCGCGTATTCCAGAGGTCCGCGGTTCGATTCCCAGCGAAGGCGTTGCTCATTTTTCAAGTCTCCTGCTTTCAAAAAAAATCCTAATGTCTCTACAGAGGCGAAGGGTGGTAGATGATGATTCTCCACACCCAGAGTAAAAATCCTTTCCTTATTTCAATATAACGGATATTGAATCTTGTAGGAAGAATAAAGCTAAATTTTTAGAATGAACAAAATACTTTTATTTGAATTTTAAAACAGAACCAAAAAAAAAAAAATAAAATAAATACTCCAGCTCTTAACTATCAAAATTTTAAGCTCTTAACTACTACAGTTAAAACTCTTACAACTATTAAAATTACTAAAATTTTTAAACTCTCTAAACAAAATATATAAAAATCTTCCGAATCCTCTTCTTGTTGCCACACCGTAAAATTGCAAGTTCTTGTTCTATTATTTATATTTCCACGTTCTTACACGATCTTTACAGGTCATGATCTTTACAAGTTACGATCTTTACAAGTTACGATCTTTACAAGTCATGATCTTTACAAATCACGATCTTTACGAGTCATGATCTTTACAAGTCAGTCGATCTTTACAAAGTCCCCCCACAAGAAGCACATTCGTCACCGTAGAGACAATTGCTGCTCAGAGTTCATTGAGAGAGAAAGAGTTAACAGCTAACCTTGACAAAGCATCAGGCATTCCCATGTGAACTTCCTTTGCGGTATGTCACAGTCATGTTATACCGTTGTAACGCTAAGGCCCAACGAGACAGTTTAGCACCATGAGGGGTGCTTTGGGTCAAGTAGGTGAGGGGATTGTGATCAGACACAATTTGCACTTTGGCACCGAAAATCCATGTGTCAAATTTTTTCAAGGCTTCGATGACACAAAATGCTTCTCGTTCGATGGTTGACCATCGTTGTTGACAGGGCGTTAATTTCTTGCTGAAAAATGCTATGGGCATTTCTTTGCCATGTTCGTCATTTTGAGCTAAACACGCTCCAATTGCGAAAGCAGATGCATCCGTATAGAGTTGAAAGGGCTTGCTGATGTCCGGAGTATGCAGAGATGGCATTTTAATCAACTCTTCTTTAAGTTTGTTGAAAGCTGCTTCTTTTTCAGAGTCCCATGGAATATTATTTGGAATACTCTTCTTTGTAAGGTTTGTTAGAGGTATAACAATCTCAGAAAAAATTTGGGATATAATCCCTATAGTAGCTTGCTAGCCCCTAAAAGACTCCTGACTTCTTTTTTAGTGGTAGGCTTAGACAGATTTCTGATGACTTCTACCTTCTCAGGATCTGGAGAGTGAGTGCCAGAACCTATTACATGTCCTAGAAACTTCACGTGACTCTTTCCGAAATCACACTTTTCTAGATTTGCGGTTAGACCTGCGTTTCTCAGTGTCTGAAACACTTGGTCGATGTGATAGAGGTGGCCATCCCAAGTTTCAGAAAATATTGCCACATCATCAATATATGAACGGCAGTAGTTCTTATGATTTGCAAGCACCTTATCCATCGATTTTTGGAAGGTACTTCCAGCATTTTTCAAACCGAAAGGGAGAACTTTCCATTGGTAATGGCCGGAATGAGTGATAAATGCTGTGTAGGGTTTAGCTTCTTCTTTCATAGGAATTTGCCAATATCCCTTGGTTAATCGAGAACTGTTATGAATTTGGCTTTCCCTATTTCGAATAGTAAATCTTTAGCAATCTTCATCGGATAGGCGTCCGGAATTGTGAAGCTATTTAAAAGCCTGAAGTCTATGCACAGTCTAACGCCGCCATTCTTTTTTGCAACACATACTATAGGATGTGCCCAGTCACTGTCACTGGGTTCTATAAGATCCCATTCTAACAGTTCTTTAACTTGACGATCGACTTCCTCTTGAAGTGAAACAGGAACACAGTAGGGCCTCAATCTTTTCGGATTACATTCTTCTGTAACCTTGATGTCATGACCATCAACATTGGCTTGACCAGGTTTGCTACTGAAAACATCTACATAAGATTTTAGTACTTTAAATAGTCCTTCCCGTTGGTAATATTTTAAGTCGCCTTCAAATTTTGTAAATGGGTCCAGATATCAATCAGCAGATTTATTCATAAGATCTGCTGGTGCATAGTGGATATCTCCAAACTCTTCATCTTGGTCAAAAATGATACCAACGTGATCTACACGAGCAATATATGGCCTTAACTTATTATGTGGAGTTCTCTAATACTTCCGTTTTCCATTTCGATTTTGGCAGAGTGTGGCCTGGTAAGTTGATCACGGTAGCTGGTCCTTGCCACGTGTTGAGCAATTTATGTGATGATGATGGCATTAACACGAGGACTTTGTCCCCAACATTGAAAGTCTTTTCTTGAGAACGTAAATTGTATCTTGAAGTGTATTCTTCTTGAGATATTTTGGAATTTGCTGACGTAATGTCATGAGCCTTTTCTTAAATTTTTCTAAAAGGTATTTGTAGATAATTTTCAATTGAACGGGAAGCTGTGACTGGAATGCTACGTTCACCTGTCCAAAATCTCTTTCAGCAAGGATAAATGGTCCTGGTTGGTTATTCTTCCATACACCATCTGGAAGGGGAGACAACCCCAAGTGGTGCTATGTGGCACTTCTCTGTAGGCAAACATTAGGTAGGGAAGATGTCAAATCCCAAGTTTTCTCCCATTTTCTTGGATATTTTTGTTCATCATCTCTTTTAAGGTTCTATTCCAACGGCTCGATAGCACCCATACTCTCTGGGTGTCCTGGAGTGAAAGAATTGGTGGAGATTCACCAAGGTAAGGTCCTCAAAAGGCTCGGGTGAGTTTGGCTTTGAAATTAGTTCCCTGGTCGGAACAAATTCACTCTTTGGAAATCTCAGTTTGAGAAAAAAAACCTCATCAAAACGTTACATGTTGTTTTTCGCACATTATGTCTTTGACGTGGGGTGGACTTCTGCCCATCTGGTGCATAGGTCGGCTGCGCATATTCACACACCGATGACCTCTTCCTGGATGGAGGTTCTAATGGCCCGATACAATCCACGCTTCCATACTTCGAAAGGGTGTTTCCGGTTCTAACAATAGGTTGAATTGGGATTCGATCTTTATGTACGTAATTGCCCTTCCTCAATTGGCATTCTTTACAACTTTTGCAGAAAATTTTTTAACATCTTGCTTAATAGTAGGGCCAAAAGAATGAGTACTTGATTCGTTGAATTGTCTTTTTCTCACCGAGGTGGCCGGCAAGAGGGATTTCATGTGCCATTCTTAGGACTTCCCTTCTTTTTTTACAGGTAAACCACTTGTACAACACTTGCTTAATGTTTTTCACCACAGATATATTCGGAATGAAGTAATATGCCATCATCGAAGAAAGTATATGAATTTTGATTTTTATTTGCCCATTCAAAGCATTTTTTTTCAGAGTTTCGTCTTCTTGTTCTTGATGTGTCTTGAATTCTAGTCTTACTCTATTCGTTGTTTTCCGAGACTCTATGTTTCTTGGGAAAGCTGATTAACAACAGCCAAATTTGTAGTATTTTCTTCAACTGGTAACGGTTTATCATGTGTCTCTTTGTACTCTAAGGGGGATGCATGGGGAGGCCATCCAATGACGATCCACAGTTCACAAGTTCGATTTTCCACAGAGTTTGTTTCATAAACACTCAAGAACGTCTACAGGTCACAAGTCAGCACACGATTTTGCCACACACGTAAAAAAGAACTCTACAGTGAAAATCATCGTCAATTTTTCTGGAAAATCTTTAGTTTTGGAGTAGTTTCGTTTTCACCAAAAGCAGAAGATATCTCTATTTTACTTTCTCCTTCGCAAGGTATGTTGTCAACCGATTTCTCACGGACTACTGAAATTTGTGCTCCCGTGTCTACGATTCCATTTAGAATATCTCCACATTTAACTTTGACAAGTTTTAATTCATCTATGTTTCTAGATACGTCCACTGATTTTGAGACAGGAATAGAGATCTTGGCAGTTAGCACTTCTGGTTTTTCTTTTTCTGCAAGGGGTGCTTGTGTTTGTATTAAGTTGTTTTGTGCTGTTGCAGAAGCACTTCTTGGAATCCGATTTTTGGTACATAACTTAGATGTATGACCTTCTTTTCCACAATTATAGCAAGTTAGTTTGAAACTAGGCTTTTGTGGTTCGTCACTCTTACGGGATGGGTACACTCTTGGCGGCGTGTTTTCAGCGCGTACAGCGATTTATTTCTGAAAGCTCTTTCTGGAAGTGGAGAATGAGGTTGCCAATTTTTATTAGTTCTGTCTGCTGATGGATTACCACCAGTCTGTTTTGAGATATTACGAACACTGTCATATTCGTCAAGTTTATGAGCTAATTTGGTTGGAGAAACGAATTTCACCCAGTCGTCAAG